TGACTTCAGCAGGATCTGAGCTGCTGAGAAAAAAACTAAAGAAGTCCAGAGTTTCCCAGACAGGCACTCAAAAATAGGACCCTCAGTATTAAAGGATGCTTTGGGACACAAGGTGTGCCCAAATTTAACTTTATTTTTGTAGACATACCTGATGATAAATCTCTCTCAGCAAAAGGCCAGAGTGGTGGTTTTTGGAAAGAAAATACTTATGTGCCTTTCTGAGCTGAGTCTCACTCCATTTTTCACATTACTAGTAAGAGAAAATCTGATGATCAGTGGATTTTGCAATCCTAGATGTCTATGTGGATTTTATTGCTTTTGTGGTATTCAGTCATCTAATTAGGGAATGTATTTTCAGGAAAGAAATGCAGAAAATTTGAGCTACATTTTCCAGTTAGAAAATAAATGGGCACAGGTTTTGTAAGAAAAGCAGATGAGATCAAAAGAGATCTTTTGGGCTACAGTCAAGGAGAAAAGAGTTGAATGCTTAGTAGTGCTTAAACTACATTTTTTTCTCCATTTAAAAAAAACCCCGTTGCTTTTTACATATTTGAAAATCAGTTGAGCAACCTCATTTCATGAATGCCCTTTGTGCAAGTCACTAACAAGTAAATAAAGAAACTATAACAAAAAGAGGTCACAGTGAATTAAGAAAATAAACTGCAAAGTGAGCAGATGCTTTCCAAGATCCTGTTATAGATGTCTTTGCTGGCACTGTATTTCATTGTTAATAAATTCCATGCAGTTTATTGAAACAGAGTATGTTTAGTGCAAGCCCTTTACCATCAAATACAGGAGTAGAAAGGCATCTGGAAAATGTTTAGCTCTTTAACTCTGTAGTGGAGTACAGCTTTGGCAAGTAACCTTTAATGCAGTACTGACCTTGTCAGTAAAGATGCTTGAGGTTTCATCCTTCGAATAATTCTGAGCCTACCTTGTCAATATGTGTTTTGAGACTGCAATGAGAAACCTTGAGTGTTTTTTGACTGAAGACGACTTTGGTCAGAGCGTTCTTTTGTACATAATAGTGCATGCATGGTTGCACAATCATGCCTTTTTCTTGTAAAAGTTTGTTTCTATGCATTCAGGATGGGCACATGCTTATTCTGAGTGTCACACCTTCAGTGAGAATCAGCTATTGAAAATGTTTCCTTGAATGTAGCGTTTTCCTGTTCATTTCCATGAGAGTAAAGTACTGAGACTTCAGCTGGACAAAATGAGCAAAATAGGTTACTTCAGGAGATCGTGCTGTTGGTTCCTAGCATAGGGATTGAGTGATCTGAAATGGCTTTTCACCTGTCCCTTTCCCGTGAGTGCAAGGGGATGTGAGTCCTTCACTAGGATACAGCCCTGAGGTGGACACTGATATGGAGCAAAGACATATCCAACCAAGCAACGAACAAAACGATGTAATGTTCTCTGAGGTAAAACCATGAAGTAATTCTTCTAAAGAGGAAATTAAGGTATTTCCCAGATATACCAAGTGCAAGGCTTGGAAGTATTCAGATGTAAAGCAGCCAGAGTCTACCTTGGCAATGGGTACTAAAGGTACCATAAAACTCTGCTTGCTCCTGGGACTGTGCCAGATAGCGTGTTTACACATGAATCATCTGCAGGACATCGGTTAGAAAACAAAAAATCAAAGCTGTGACATTGGCTGCAGGATGAGTTATTATTCAGCATATAACAATAATAAACCAGGAAATTCACTTCAGGTTTCCCTCTTCTCCATTTGCTTTTCCTAACCCTGTTCCCTGACAACCTGCTCTCTCCACCTAATTCTTCCTTTCCCTATATCTGCAGGGGTTATTAAAAGGCTTGGGCAAATTATCTTAGAATTTATTTTCAAATTTGGTACCTTCTAACTTTTTCTGAGTGGTAGGTTATAGGTGTGAGAAGGTGACGTGTGCCTTGGCTCCCTTTCTCCTACCATGAGAAAAAAAATCATCTGGAAGTGTAATGAGAAATATTAAAATCCCTAATTCATCAGACAACCAGCACAGCTAGGTCTGTGAAAGAGACTTCAAGTCCACCAAGGATCTTCAGTTGAGGGGACCTGCAAGAAAACCCATTCCCAAGCCCTAGCAGAACCATAATAGTCTCAGTAGTGAACACCTTCATGTGATGGTATTTTTGTTGCTACAAACAGTGATCTGCCACAGATCTCCTGGTGAGATGATTCTGCCAACACACTTTCGTTGGAATTCGTTTCACCAGATGTGAAGAAGCAAATTGTCTAAGCGTTCTTCTTACTTAAGGGAGCAAGGTGGTACCTCCAAAAGACACTTCATTCCACTGCTCTGAGGATGACAAGAACCATGATTTGTGTAGTTTGCTGTGTAGTTTGAGGACAATTGCAGAAACAAAGAGCTAAAGCTGGTCAGAGGAAAGAGGAACAGCTGTGTATACGCCAGGCTCCAGTCTGCCTGAGAAGCAAAACCAAGAAATGGATAAATATCTGTCTTCAGTTCTCTCTGGAGTGTGTTTCAGCCTCATCTGAACGTGGCAACAGATGCACAAACCTGGCATCCTCTAGCGTATGTCTTTTGAGATTTTTCTCTCATGTGCTGCCTATGTCCAGTCAGTCATCTATGTCCTCACGCCTCTCAAAGTCGCCTGCTCTTGTGATGGCTGATGTTTGAAGTGACAAATAAGACCTCTTCAGTATTCAAATACTTTCTTTTTTGATGTCTCTGAAGTATTCCTCCTCTATGTTTCAGAGGCAACGGTGTTCTGAAATACGTGCAGAGGTCAGAGAATGTGCATATTGCAGATGTACATCTCTAGAAGGGAAACTCGAATTTGTGTGTTGTGATCACATATACCTGCTGGCACTGGAGTTAGTGACTCATGTGCCTGTGCTGAGCCCTTTGCTTTTGTATTCCTACTGCAATAATCTACATGGAAGGTATCTGACACAGACTGTTGTGATGGAGGTGCACTGCAGAGGATGTAGTGAAGTGTCTGCTGTTTCCCAAGAATAATCCCAAGCACTAGTTGTTTCCACAGCAAAACCACGTTTTCTTGTAAAAGTTTATTTCTATGCATTCAGGTTCTCCTGTTTGCCTCTCTTACTTGTATTGACAGAGAGGTTTGTGCTGCTGGGAATGAACCAGACCAGGGAAGCAACCAGGACTGGCAAAAAAAAAAGATCCACTCAATCGTTGAGATCAGCTGCTTTGGAACCGACCCAGCTCCGACAGACTGACTGATTGCGAGGCACGGGGAGGTTTTTCGGGAGATTGCTTTGCCAGGAAAACCCCGATACAGTGGCGTAACCCGAATCCCACCACCAGCTCTCCCGAGAGAGGCTGACATGGTGCGGGAGTTGCTGGGGCAATGGTGATCACAGCCCCCTCCCAGTCC